ATATATATATATATATATATGATGTTTGCCTTCATTATTTCGCAAGTTGTCAAGCACTTTGTCTGTTTATTCCTCCCATTTAAAGAACCAAATTATATGATAACAAGGCAGAGCCTTAAAGAGGTTGTTTTTTAAAGTAATATTATTGCTAATGCAAGTTTTTTTCATGAAAAATTAGATTTTAATTCTTTAAGACAATAAGAATTTTTGACCTCTCTCTATGTTCTTCCATATATACAGATATAACAATTAAATTCTTGACTGCATGTTTAAAGGGCGTGATTATTTTCAAGGACGGAGCCAAGGGGGGACCTACGAGTGCCACGGCCCCCAACAATTTTAATTTTTTTTATATACATATATATTACTATATGGCACCCCCTATTTTTAATATAAACTCATATGTATAATTAAATGAATAACCCAAATTTATTTTTTTATTCAACTTTTGGACTTCTGGTACGGCCTGCTATGTGGTATCACTTTGGAATTTTTTTTTTTTAAAAAAAATGTAGCGCCTCATTTGATCATTCCAATTCTCGGCCCCCCAGTATTGAAATCCTGGCTCCGTCCCATTTTATTTTATCAACCATACCAGGCTGTTTGCTAATGCAAGTAGCCAAAATGTGTATATGATACTGTTATGCGCTATAATCCACAGAAGCATATACTTCATTGCTGCATTGTTTGTTCTGACTTCTGAGTCATAATACGAGTGTCAACTGCAGGATCCGTGGTACATTCTGTTGAGTGTCTTTTATGCATGATTTGCACTCAACTTTTTGATACTCTTTTTGGTAATTGTAGATATTAAATATGTTATTTTACCCTCTTTATTTAAAGAATCAAGTTATACTAAAAGAGTAGAGGAGTAGTAGCAAAATCTTCAGGAATTTCCTTATTTTTTGCAGGTTTTTTAGGAAGGCAGAGATCCACAGCCATAGCTGTGGATCTGGAGCTCGAGCTGTGGAAATCTAGGGAGAAATTGTGAAGGTCAGAAACTTGCAGCTATAGCTGTGGTTCTGCAGCTATAGCTGTGGAAATCTGGAATGCTCATTTTTGGTTCCAGAGACTTGAAGCTATAGCTGTGGATCTGGAGCTCGAGCTGTGGAAATCTGAAATGCAAACTTGAAGCTCCAGAGAGTTGAAGCTAAAGCTGTGGACTCTCAGCTAAAGCCATGGAAGCACCCAGGACCCAACACCAACTCCAGAGATCCACAGCCATAGCTGTGGCTTCACCGCTTGAGCGTTGGAGGTTCCTTAAGTTTGAAGGAGTTGCCACAGCTATAGCTGTGAAACCACAGCTGCAGCCTTGGAGGTTTCTTCACCCTGAAGGACTCTCCACAGCTATAGCCGTGGATCTGCAGCTGCAGCCGTGGAAATAAAAGTTACTTTTTGGCCTTATTTTGAAGCCAATATAAAAGGGGAAAAAGTGAGAATACGGAGCACGAATTTAACAGAGAAAAATAGGGGAAAAGCTGGGGAAGAAGGAAGAACGAAGGAAGAACAGAGACTTGGAAGCTGGATCCTTTGGGAACGAAGATCAACTCCATTTCTTCATCCTTTGCTTTGTAATTTCTTCTTTTCACTCTTTGATTCTGTAATGGCCATGGGTGGCTAAACTTCTTAAGGATTGGTTAGATGTAACTACTAACTCCTCTTCTTCTTAAATATATGCATTTTGATCTCATTATTTGTGTAATGATTCTTCGCTTAACGCTTATATCGGCTTGATCAACCGTTGTATGATTTTTGGCTTTTGAATCCAGTTGGAAAACGCTTTCGAAAACCCGAACTGAATCTTGCACCTAATCACCTCTTGTTCTAGGAATAGACTTGATTTGGTTAGTCACATTGTTCAAGTTATTGTTCTTAATGCGAAGTGTTAGACTCAAAACATTGAGGAATCATGTTTTGAGCTTAATGACTTTAGGATTCAACCTTGAGGAATCTTGTTGGATTATTTAATGAACGTGGAAATAATGAAATTAGAATTGCATTTATGCTAAGAAGATCTATGAGTTAGCAAGTGCATCTGAGCCAATCCTTGTTTCTTAATCATTGTCTTTACTACATTTGCCTTATTGTGTTGTTTGAATCTGTTTTCACTCCATTGAATTTTTAAACTCATTCTCTTTTAAATCATACACACAAATCCCTGAGGATGATCTTTAAATACTACTTCGAAACTTGGTTCACTTGCCAAGTGATAGGTTTGCGAAAATCTTCATCACATTCCAGGAAATGATCTAAAAGACCACATGTTTTTGTTTATACCCAAAATTTTCAGTGTAATCAAAGACTTTACAGAAATAATATTTATCATCTATGTGGAGTTGAAAACATTAATTAATTTAGGCCTGCAGCACATGCAGCCCTATCACTTTTAAAATATGAATGCGATATAACTGTTAAAGGATGTGTGATTTCTATAATATAAGGTTATATACGGTCTTGCATGGCCACTATGTAGGATGCTGATTTTCTCGTTAATGAGGGCTTCCGCATCTTGCGCTTTTAACCATTTAATTCTATTCCTAATCACTTCTATCAGCTTTCAAGTTTTCTGAATTGAAAGGGCTGCGAATCTCATAATGAAATTGTTTTAGGTCCACTTCTTTGAACCTTAGCAGATGCTCCAAAATAAACAGACATACAACAAGAAACGCAGAAAAATTCATTGTGCAAATTAAAATAGAAAATCGAGTTTCGTTTTTAGGTTAGATTTTGTTATTATTACCATACGGTGATAAAATCTCTCATGCATGTGTCATAAATAATGAGTTAATTTGTTTTGTATAGATAGCAAGTGTCTCAGCTAATCTTGTTTGAACTGGATGACAAAACTTTCCTTGTGAGTTTAATACAGTTGCATATACTCGAGACTTAAATTTGAGACTGTTGGTTATATCCTCAGTTAATTTACATGGTCGTCATTGTCCTCAATAAACAGTGAGTTAATTTGACAAAAAGGAAAAATATGCCTCATGCACGACCATGAATCTTATTCTCCATGAAGAAAGTTCTATATTCATTATTAGATTGACCTTAACAGCTAGCTAGCCAACTTGTTATCTACAACATGCAGTACAGTTCAAAAGGACAGTTATCAAGAATCCTCCGAATAATCTCTACTACGATCTTATTCTTCTATATGTGGCGACAATACAGTATAGCCCACCTCATTGAATAGCTTATAAATAACCCTTCAATGAAGCTCATAGCCAATTAAGCTCACGAGTCACTCACGACCCTTCTTATATATATATGCTTTCTACCTCTCTCTCTCTTTCTGTATTGCATTGTGTTTCACTATCTATTTCAACTTTTTTCAAGCATGGACACGATCACAAGCATGGTAGCTGAGAAGCCTGTGGTGATATTCAGCAAGAGCAGATGTTGTTTGAGCCACTCCATGACATCACTGATACGTTCTTTTGGCGCAAACCCCACTGTTCATGAGCTGGATGAGATGGCGAATGGGGAGCAGATTGAGAGTGCATTGCTTCAAATGGGGTGCCAACCAAGTGTTCCTGCTGTGTTCATAGGGCAAAGATTCATTGGTGGCTCTAAGAAAATCATGAGCATGCATGTCAGAAATGAATTGGTACCACTGCTCAAGAATGCTGGGGCTATATGGATTTGAGACCAAACTGGTTTCTACTAATTAATTAATAGTTATGTTTTAGAGATGAATAAGATGGCTTTGTAGTCCTGCTACGTGGTTACAGTGGTGTACTAAACTATATATATATATACTCACTATATACTATATGAGGCTTAAACTTTCACATATTATCACCCGTTTCATTTCTTTTTATTTTCTTGTGATTAATGCATGATATGAAGAATGAGTAACATGAATACTTATTTTGATAGGGTACTTCCTGATCAATATAGTGTTCATTATCAGTTTTATTTAATCAATCTCTCTTTTCATTTAGTATTGCTATTCATCAAAATTTATAATATATTTATAATTAATTTCAGTTAATAGTACAAAGAGTATTAGAAAGACTGAAAGAGAATGTTAGTAATTGTGTCTCTAACATTAATTCCTTCTATATATGGAAAAAAATTTAATTAGATAAAATTTAACGAGTAATTATATAATCTAAAGAAATAATTAAAAGCTTAAATAAATCCTAAATATGAATAAATTAATCAAGATATCAATATTATAAATCCCATAATCATCATAAATTCACAAATTTAAAATAACAAAAATTATTAATCTTATAATTAAATAATTAGTTATATGTGTCATGCATTATTTATTATGCACCAATCAATTGTCACTTTTTTTTCTTCTTTTAATAATTTACACAATGAAAAACTTAACCCTTTTATTATTCCTCTTATGATATATTTAATTTTAGAGGTGGTACACGTATAAATGTTATTGATATCGGAACACATGCTGCTGATATTTCACGCAGAGTGGCTATGAATTGGTGATACTGCTCATCTGGCCATGTAACGAGCATAAGGCTAAGGAGGGGAACCATCCCTCAAAAGCCGGCCCAAGAGGTTGGAGAACCTCCCGCCTTATAAGGCCTCCCTGGTAAGGAGACCTCCCCGATGTGGGACTTGTTACATTACCACCCCCTTCGAAAGCCAGCGTCCTCGATGGCTGCACTCCACGGTACTTTACTCATCGGTACTTCACTCGGCACTCTCGTCCGGTCAGAACCCTCCGATGGTCAGAACCCTCCGTGGGTAGCCCTTCTCGATTTGGCTGGCTCTCAACGAGAGCACCATTGTAACGAGCATAAGGCTAAGGAGGGGAACCATCCCTCAAAAGCCGGCCCAAGAGGTTGGAGAACCTCCCGCCTTATAAGGCCTCCCTGGTAAGGAGACCTCCCCGATGTGGGACTTGTTACATTACCACCCCCTTCGAAAGCCAGCGTCCTCGATGGCTGCACTCCACGGTACTTCACTCATCGGCACTTCACTCGGCCCTTGCCGGTCAGAACCCTCCGATGGTCAGAACCCTCCGTGGGTAGCCCTTCTCGATTTGGCTGGCTCTCAATGAAAGCACCATTGTAACGAGCATAAGGCTAAGGAGGGGAACCATCCCTCAAAAGCCGGCCCAAGAGGTTGGAGAACCTCCCGCCTTATAAGGCCTCCCTGGTAAGGAGACCTCCCCGATGTGGGACTTGTTACATTACCACCCCCTTCGAAAGCCAGCGTCCTCGATGGCTGCACTCCACGGTACTTCACTCATCGGCACTTCACTCGGCCCTTGCCGGTCAGAACCCTCCGATGGTCAGAACCCTCCGTGGGTAGCCCTTCTCGATTTGGCTGGCTCTCAACGAAAGCACCATTGTAACGAGCATAAGGCTAAGGAGGGGAACCATCCCTCAAAAGCCGGCCCAAGAGGTTGGAGAACCTCCCGCCTTATAAGGCCTCCCTGGTAAGGAGACCTCCCCGATGTGGGACTTGTTACATTACCACCCCCTTCGAAAGCCAGCGTCCTCGATGGCTGCACTCCACGGTACTTAACTCATCGGTACTTCACTCGGAACTCTCGTCCGGTCAGAACCCTCCGATGGTCAGAACCCTCCGTGGGTAGCCCTTCTCGATTTGGCTGGCTCTCAACGAAAGCACCATTGTAACGAGCATAAGGCTAAGGAGGGGAACCATCCCTCAAAAGCCGGCCCAAGAGGTTGGAGAACCTCCCGCCTTATAAGGCCTCCCTGGTAAGGAGACCTCCCCGATGTGGGACTTGTTACATTACCACCCCCTTCGAAAGCCAGCGTCCTCGATGGCTGCACTCCACGGTACTTAACTCATCGGTACTTCACTCGGAACTCTCGTCCGGTCAGAACCCTCCGATGGTCAGAACCCTCCGTGGGTAGCCCTTCTCGATTTGGCTGGCTCTCAACGAAAGCACCATTGTAACGAGCATAAGGCTAAGGAGGGGAACCATCCCTCAAAAGCCGGCCCAAGAGGTTGGAGAACCTCCCGCCTTATAAGGACTCCTTGGTGAGGAGACCTCCCCGATGTGGGACTTGTTACATTTATATACAAGAAAGATGAGTTAGTAGCCTATTTACAATGAAGCAAAGCTATATTGACTTTGACACAACTCTGGAGACAGGCTCTGGCACAGAACTGGTCGAGGATTAAGAGAAAAAATACCATCGCGGACAGTAAAAAGCGAGTGTCAGAGAGGTAGATTAGAGTCAAAGAGAGACTTGAGAAACATGTATGTAAAACTTGTAACAATAATTTGTAAATCTTAGACAAAAGATAAGATATGGTATGGATATATATACTCTTGATGGATGAATTTTAAGGTACACAAGGCTGAAATTTATGTATGGTACACGAGAATATTACTTAATAATGTATGTTGCGGAAACTTTTAGTATTTATTTCAAGTCATTCTTCTTATCTTGCAAAAAGAGAGAGTATACCATTATGGTTATATTTTAATCAATTCCAACACTCTTTATATCCATATTGAGAGGGAGTGCAACAACTTGTCAACATAAACAAGCACCGAGAATCACAGGCAAGTCTTAGAATTTAACATCTATTCATTTCTAATGCATGCAAAGGTTAGGCACCAAAATCCAATCCGTAAGGGGTGCCTTAGTTTCCAATTATCAAACATCCTTTAAACTGCCCTTGTTAGGCATGGAACTAGGCCAACCAATGCACACGTCTGTAAAAAAACCCTTTGGGGTCAACCTCAATCACCCCCTTGATCGTGATCAAGTAACTAGCTTTTTGCTTCCTCTTTGCTCACCCTTTATTGAAATTAGCTGCAACAACAATCTTGGGTGCAGTGATGGAAACATGGGTAGTGTACATTGATCGTGTTATTATTTCTTCATTGTTTTTTATTTTTTATTTTTTTTTATTTCTCCTTAAATTGTGATATTTGCCTTCTCTATCTGTATGCAGAGTTTATATAATGAAGGTGCCAGAAAGTTTTGGATTCACAATACTGGGCCGTTGGGCTGTCTTCCAAAAGTACTCGTACAGGCTCAGAAGAAGGATCTAGATTCATTTGGATGTTTTTCTAATTATAACTCTGCAGCAACAATTTTTAATGAAGCGCTGCGTCGTTCGAGTCAGAAACTAAGAACTGAACTGAAGGATGCTACTCTAGTCTATGTTGATTAAGTGATCTCGTCACAAATGCTGCGAAATATGGTAATCCAAGCAAGCACTTTCGTTTCATTATATACAAATTTTTATCCAAGCAAGCACTCTTATGATACTAATCTGAATCAAGTTCTTCTGCTTTCACTATGTTTACATAATTGGCAGATTTAGTTAACTATATTTATTAGCTTGACCTGCAAATGGTTCAACAAAATATATCATAATTTTGTAAATGCATTATTGATTAGGTTTCTCAAATCCACTGATGGCATGTTGTGGCTTCGGAGGGCCTCCTTACAATTTTGACGCAAGGGTGCCATGTGGGCAAACTGGTTATGAGGTTTGTCATGAAGGGTCTCGGTATGTGAGTTGGGATGGAATTCACTACACTGAGGCTGCAAATACATTGATAGCTTCTGGGGTACTTTCAATGGCTTACTCCACTCCACGGACACCTTTTAATTTCTTCTGCCGCCGTATCGCCATTGAATAAATGCACGTTCAGTGTGCAAAACAGTGAATCTACAGTTAGTTAATTAATTGTTGGTTTACCATCTATGTCATGTAGTTCTCCAAGAACAGAGTTTGTCATGCAGTAAACTCTCTAATTGGGTTTATGCAGTTGGGGGCTGTAACCGGCCTATATTGCGAGAAATTGGTCAAAAAAGTATGTAATTATTTAATTGATTTCTATATATTAAATATGAATTATTATCTTATATGAAAGATCTTTTAGAAATTTTTCTTTGAAAAAAGAATTTTTATAATTTTTAATTTAATTCAATTTTTACTTATTAAAATTATTTATAAATTAGATTTTAATATTTTTAAAATAAATTATCCATAAATAAAAATAGTATCATATTACAATATAAATTATTTATCCAAAATTTACATTTATATAATTTTCAATATGATTTATATATTTAAATATAATATTTATTTATATATAATTTATTATAAATTTTAATTACATATAATATTTAATATGTGCATTGTATAGGATAAAATATTAATATAATATAAATTATTAAAACTTATAATTAAGTCACAATTATTTATGAAAGTTTTATAGTAAAGTAATTCTTACGTTTCATTATTAATAGGAATGATAATTTCTCCATTTGGTCTCTATTTTTTAAATAAATTAAAATAAAATAAATCATGTAGGGAATAGTTAAGAAAAAGTAATTCAGATTTATGAATAAAAAAAAGTGTAATAGTTTATATAAAAATAAAGACAAAAATAATTATTGAAAAGAGTATTTCCTACAATGTTCAATCCACCATTAAATGAAAGATTTCAACTCCTGACATTTTATTTCATTACTTAAATTACTAAGTCATTTAATTTTATTTGCTTCATAATATAAACATTATTACCTTCTTTATATATAAAATCATTTTTATTTTATTTGTTCCTTTCTATAGTTTCAAATCACTGGTCAATTGTTTTTTTTATAATCAAATATTTATTTAATGTTAAATCTACTTTTAAAATAATAAATCTATATAACAGAATATAATTTTTGATAAATTAATTATATAATTTATTATTTAATATTTTTCATGGAATAAATATGAATGTACATTCACTTCTTTCTTCTTTTTTTTATTATTTTTTATTTCCGTTTCTTTAACCCATTTAACTTATTTGAGTCATACTATAAACACTATTATATATAACAAAATAAAAATTTTATTTTAAAATACTTATTTAATGTAGGTTAAAAAGAATAATTAATATATTTATATAGCAAAATAAATAAATTATACAACTTATTATTTAATATATCATTTCATACAATAACTAAAAAACATATAATCGCTTTTGCTTTTATTCCCGTCTCCCATTTTTTTCTCATCTTTTTCTATCACATCACAAATATTATAATATTTATAAGTAATTACTAATTACTATATTTTTGGTTAAAATTCCTTTTTGCTTTCAATTATGCAAAATTCACAATTTTAATCTTGTAGTTTTTAAAATTAGATATGGTAGTATAATAATATATTGTATTTTTATTTATTTATTTGTATAAGCCTTACAATAATGATAAAATGATTGATATAAATGGAACCTTTTATGTGTCTCTGCTATTGGGCCTAACAGTATTAATTGCTTAAGAAATAAGGATGATTTGCTTAAGCAAACATTCGAAAAACTTCATAATGTGCTTCTATCGTGGCTTGCGTAAGTGATTAGAATGACTTGTTTAAGTGAGTTTTCAACGTCAAAATATGTGAGCTCGCCACTTGTTTAAGTGATCAATGTAACTCTAATTAAGTATAAATTTATTTACTTTTAATTTATCAATTATTTAAGTAAACATGGCTAACATAAGATATACTTAATAAATACCTAATATGTTTTTAAATATTATACATATGGCAATTATCATTTTCTATCAACACGTCACTATCACATCAACGATATATTAATAATGTCAAACAATCAACATGGTGACAAAATATTAAAAATTGGGTAAAAAATATACAAATGAAATTGTTAAATGGCAAAATTTGTAAAATTATAAAACATAAATGATATAGTGTGTTAAACCTGAAATATATTAAGATATGTATTTTTTTTTTAATTTTCATGTTAAAACTTACCGATCCAATATCATATTTTATCTAAATTATCAAACAATCACCTTTTTTCAACCCTTAAAATCATCTTAAAAAATATTTTAAAAAATCAGTAATTATTTTTCTTCTCTTCTTTTTAAATTTTAAATTTTAAATTTAAATATATCTTTAATCTCTATAATTATTTGAATAAAAAATTATTTTATAGATTTTATATTAAGAAAAATTAAGAGAAAAATTTGAGTATAATAATTAAAATTTTAAGGTTTTAATAGTAATTCATATAGATGATATAGTTTTATAGTTTTATGACAGTGTAAAATAGTTTTATACTATCATCTAATCACAATTCACATAGATGATAAATTTGTTAAATTTTTATAGTAATTATCCTAAAAATCATATAAATTGTGATTTTTATTTAATTGACAGTGTAAAATTATTTTACATTGTTAATATATCATCATTAAATTTTTAATTTTTTTTAAATATTGTATAGATTAAATAATACATTAATCGTAACAGGAGAATAAAGCACAAATTTAAACTTTGTAATTACTTAAATTATTATTGTATCTTACTTATCCTGTGTACATACAGACAAAACAAAATCTTACGTTAACAACAGATGGAGTATCGTAAATAAAATTAATTTTGACGAAGTAGATGGAGAGATGTCCGACACATTTTTATCTTTTCCTCCGAAAATACATCATAATCTTAGTGTTTACATCTCCGCTTAATTTTCGGTCTCTTTAACTCAACATTATTCCATAGGATGACCCAACTATGTATTATTGTAATTTGTAATTTATCACTTCCAATCACCCTTTGAGATTATATCCCTCAGAACTTTTTTTTTCTTTTTTTTTCCCTTTCCAAAATCCACTTGTTGCGGGAAAAAAAATCTTACTATTTATAACTTGTCATAACAAGTGACTTTATTTTCCCCATAAATTCAGAATTTTTTTCTCATAAAATTTAAATTGGCTTATAAGAGACCTTTTTATTTTTAATCAAAGAGGTTTAAAAAACTCAAAAAAAAAAATTAAAACTACTAAGATAAAAAAAATATAGAAGTTGTACCAACCTTTGTGGTCAAATCAAAGAAAAAAATAACAACATTAAAAAAAAATAATTCTCACTAAGAGACAATTCAAAAATAATGGAGATGATACTTTGAACCAAACTAAAAGATGGATGATAAGAGGCACAATCCAATTGGAAAAGATTTATAACACTTAAAAGAATCAGACTCAACAATGAAATTCTTATTTTTATCAACTAACTTGAAATTCTTTCCAAAAAAAAAACTAACTTGAAATTATTTTAAATTAATTAATGATTTTGAGTTAAAATCTTAAATAAGAAAATGATAAATATTAAAAAAAATATTTAATAGCATAAAAAAGACACTTCATGTTTCTATGTAGTTTATGTAAAAAATAAAAATATTTGATTATATATATGTATTGAGTGTTAAATAGAGTATATGTGTGTGAACAATTTTGAATAGTCATTTGAAGGGTTTGATATGTTTAAAAATAAACTTACTATAAAAAAAATTTTAAAAAGAAGAATAAAAACTAAATAAAAAATAATGGAAGAAAGAATGTTTTAGAAATTAAGAGAAAAAATTATCAATAGAATGTATATATAAAAAGACGCACATAACCTATCAATAGTGTAAATATAATTCTATTTTCTTACAAATAGAAAATATTATGCTTTCCACAAAAAAATGAGACCGACTCTTATCATTGAATAATTTGCTTTTTTGTTAACCTAATGGTGCGATCAAATTGGATGTAAATTACAATAGTTCAAAGTGAATAATTTTTACAATTTTTTTAAGCACATCTCTCTTGGGTTTTGGAAATTAATTTTTAGTTATTTTTTTATATTTCAGAAATTAATTTACAAAACCAACAGATGTACTTAAAAAAGTTTGCAAAAAAATTACCACATTGTATTATTACATGTATATAAGTTTGTTGATTCTAATAATTACCACCTTGTCAAAACTATTTTTGAAATGTGTAGTCATTTAACTCTAAAGAAAAGTTTTAAAAAGATAAATAAAGAAGAACATTTTTTCTCTCTGGTGATTAGACAGATAAAAAAACTGCATTATGGTTGGTTGTTTCTCAATATATTCATTAATTAATCCTCGCAAACATACGCCATAAGACGACAAATTAAATTGATCATGAGAAATGTATGACTGCAATTTACGAAGGATGTTAGCTTCTTTTCAGTGTACAACAACTATAGTCTATAGTGTCAAAATCTTGATGATGAAATAGCAAAGAAAACTGGATTACAAAGAAGGTCAGCAAATCATAGTGATAGGCTCATATATATGTGGTTGAATATTATGCTTACATAATATAGTATTATTTTATAAAGAAAGATTCAAGTCTAAATGTTCACTTGCTTTGTCTTTCTCTTGGGGTGTTGGTGGTAATGGTGTTGCTTCTTGCGAATCTTGTTTCTTTTCTATGAACTCTTTCTCTGAAGGACCTGCATGAATACTCTTTCC